TGGTGTACACTTATCTACTCAGTTCTTTAATATGTGGTTTATATTTCATATGCTCTCATAATTGCAACTGCTGTGGTAAGAGAATAAAGCCGCAGAAAGAAAAGCAATTTATTGATTGCAAGAATGTAATAAGCAATCTAAGTAGAAAAGGCAATTAGAGTAAAAAGCAACTTCATTTAATATTTAAGAAAGAAAGAGCAGGAATTAAGAGCAACTGAGTGCGTTAAGCTACTTGAGTTAATACTTGCAGTTGCCAGTGACGTCAACAGTATGTCTTTCAAATATACGCTGAGCCAACGATATACACTTGAGCACACATTGCTAACTCCTATTTTAAAAATTCACTTTATTTTTAATTATTTGAAATTTCTTCTTGATATTATTTTAAAACTCACTGAACTTGCTTGCACTAAACACGAATTGGAACTAAGCATTGTTAGTAGATGCATAAATTCTGAATGAACATCCCGCATAAATTATTTCTCTAAGGATATATTCTTATGTATCACGCAACGTCTTCTTACTCTCCACTCCAAACTATCTCTATTATATTATCTCGCATTATTATATTAATGTAAACTTCGCCTCTCTATTTATAGTCTTGGAGCTAAGTTTCCCAAGCGCATCAATAACTTGTCTATGGAGGGGCCTTTTGCAAGCAGTATGTCACATCGGTCCAGCAAGTGATGTCAACTAATCGAAATGAGATTGGATGAACATATCTCAAGCGGATAATCAGTTCATATGTATACGGAGACCATAAAATCCTGAAAGGATCGAGAAGGAATCAGAAGGAACAGCTGGTGGGAAATAAAATGTAAGTGGATATCAGAATTCAGAACGGATCTGTGTGAGATGACAATGATTTCAGCTAGATACGTCTTAAACTTATAATAATTCAGTCTCTAATGCGTTAATTTATAGCTCGATTAAGTGTACCGTATTGTATAAAACAGTCAAAGTTTTTTATTTTCTTGAAATATGCCTGAATCAACTAGATATATGCGAAGAAGGATGACCTATTAAAACTAAGCAAGTTTTTGCTCAACTATAATTTTAAAACCATATTTTCAACATATTTTAGTACAGCCATTTTAATATATATTACATTATATTACATTGTTATTTAAATTGTAAGTAAATTATGTGGAGATTCATTTGCAACAATTATCATCTAAATAGGAAACTACTAAATGATTGTCGGCAATTTTTAAGCATATTTTATCCTCCAGTTAGGCTAATTCACAGTATGTCTTAAACAAGCAATATTTCTCCTGAATAATGCGATTATCATTGTAATCCTTTTGTTAATTAAATTTTAATGAGATCAAAGAATGATATTTATAAATAGAATAAATGATATATGTATACGAAATTATGTAGATAAGCTTTAGAGAAATATTTTCGGAACATTTTTGTAATGTCCTTTTGAAGAAAATTCTTTTTAAAATGACATTATTGGTCTAATGAATTTTAAAATTAAAGGTCCTTTTGATCTTAAGTATCTTGTACTATAGAAAATATAGACAATTTAAAACTCAAGAGATCATTTAAAATACAATTTTTAAATGATGTGAAATGTAATTTTATTATTAGAAACATGTGCGTGAAATGTCCATTTTAGTATTCCACTAGAAACTATTGTTTAGCAATGGAGACGACAAAAAGTGTTATTTACAGGTCTTTTTTGCTCTTGATGAAATAGTTCAAATATCTTTCATTTCGAATAATAAAATAAAATAAATTTAATCCCATTTGCGAGTGATTTGGAAGTATGAGTTATACAGAAGATATTTAGTCATTTTAGAACAATTTCGGGGCCGTTTCATTAATGTTTAAAATGTATTTAAACAGTAATTTTTTTAATGTGCGATCTGACAGCTCATTTTTTCTGAACTATAAGTCTGCACTGTTATTTTCATGATAGATCGTAAAATGCTTTTTGTAAAATTTCCAGGGGTATGGATTTCCTTTCCTCTTCCACAACTTTTCAGAGTTCATAAATCGTGGTGGGCTTGCATTTAGAAAGAGTCATTTTCAAGTTACCAGAGGCACAACAATTCATAGACGAAACATCAGAGACATGGCAGGAATAGATTGAAAATGCATGTATGCAATATCGGAATAGATCTTCATTTTTTCAAAGAATGCAGTGGTATTTTTATGAAGTATGGCTTGTTCCTTTGTTCTGATGAAATTTCATTCTTTGAAAGATTAAAGAAATAGAATTTCTTATGTAAACATCAGACGTTAAATTTTCTTTTAATAGTGCGTTGAGCTGATTTTGGCATTTTTTCCAACCATTTTTAGTTTCCGACTGTAAGATAATCCTGAGACAATCATAATCCCTTTATTAAAACTCTCTTTGCATTGAAGGAACCAGATTTACATATTATTTTTCTTGTCTTTTTCCATAATATAGATATTTTGTGGTAATAATTTAGATAAATCCAAGTTTCATCAAGGATCACAACGTATTTCTATTTATCAACTGCTAAATGGTTATCGTACAGGGTTCTACAAATTGTTCTGCGGGGAGCCACCTGCGTTAGCAAAAGCCGATGAACATGTTTTTCAGCTTTTTAAATTTGTAAACCTTGTATAAATTTAGAAGTCAAACAACAAAAGTCAGCGTTATATTTGCAAATTTTCACAGAACTAGTTTCGATGGCTTTACCGAACCATCATCCTCATATTGCATATAGAAATTTTAATACCAAACATTTCACAAAGTTTTTGAATTATGGAATATTTTCCTTCGGAAAGCTCGTAAACATATCCTTCAATCCACAGATTGTTTACATGTAATAGTTTGAAAGACGAATAAATTTGAAAGTAACACACGATATTTCTGATTTCAAATAATAAGTTGTTGCCGATTTATTTCAAAATGTTTGCTTTTTTAAAAGTCTTTATCGAACACGTAAACACCTTCTATATGTTTATTAATTTAAAGATACTCTAACTCTTCATTTAAATCTAGAAATAAAATTAGGAAGCAACGTATTTGCGTAAATGGTGTAATGTTCGCTGCCACTTAGGGCTAATTGCAACGCAATTATTACAATAGATATTTTTTAATGAAGAAAATAGCATAAGGTAAGATTACTAATTAAGCAGCGTATTTATTTGGAAATATCTTAACCACACATGGGAATTTATGAACATGCTGTTAATAATGCGTTGATAGTAAATTTGAGGAACATCGATTTGTTAATTGAGAAGCGCTAAAAAGTTCTCCCACGAGACTATCATTCATTCATTTTCAAATATAGTCCAGGCATATACATTCATTCTCAAATATAGCCTAGATCTCACAGAAGTCATGCGAAAGAAACAGATTTGTGGTTTCAAGTAGAAAGAAATACTCAAATGTGTGCACTAGTACGATGAATAACAGTGATTCGCCTTAAGTTGAATGACTGGTGTATTAGATGAATGTGCTGCTTGAAAATGATTTTTCGGCTCCAAAATTCCCTCTGTGATCTACCTTTACTCATTCATCCATTTGTTACACTAGTTTAACAACTCTTGATTGGACATCCAACTATCCAATATGCTTTGGCAGCTTTAAATGAAGTATGTTTTCAGCTTATGAACAGTTTTTAGTGAGATGCCATTTTTTTTCATACATGACGAGCATTATTCCATGAATTCCGAAAGTGTTGTTGTCGTTGACCGCAAAAAAGCGTATGATCCCAAGTTTTCACACGCTGAAGAATTTTGGAGTCGAAACGGTTTTCTCATACAGTATTTTACCAAATACTTGTGTCATACGACTAGAGAGGAACCAGTGCCTATTCACCGAATTATTGCACATGATTGTTTCTCGCTGTGCTATTTGGTGAGCTTCTTTGTCTATCGTAACATCCAGTATGGTGAAAAGTTCATCTGAAAATGGATGTATGTTATATACCTTCGTGAGGGAAATTTTCAGCGTAATCTTGACTTTTTCTTTTGACCAAAAATGTAATTGGATTTATTTATAGAAAGTTATAGGTTCTTCGCTAGTTACATGGTTATTAACTGGAAAGAGCACAAACTAAAAGATATAAATCAAGGACTAAGATCAACTCACAAAGAATAAGGTTTTAAACTAGTAAATGAGACTTTAAAATGAGAAAAAAGGTTAACCTTAATTTGCCCCCGATATTGAATGAAATGGCTCGATGTATCGCGAGGAACAATCCGTGATTATGTCCTTATATTGGAAGAAAATTATTTTATTATTGCTCAAGTTATTCCTGGAACACAGCACAACGAGGAACTATTATAACGGATAAAATGAATTTATTAATTGTATTAATACAGAATGCTGTTATGCTGATGTACTAGTTCAGGAAACTATGCTACAATTATTCAAATTATTCTATTAAGCTGGTACACTGTGCTCTTAGAATCTTTTTGAAGAAGTGAGTTTCCTTTTAAATATACGATGGGTATTTTCATTTCAGCAATTAGCTAACACCACATTACATTGAATCATCTTATTTTTAAAGTTGGTATATGCATTTTGTGCACCTAGAAATGTAACTAGATAGTATTCTACATTGTGACAAAATTACAACGATTTTAGTTATTGAATCACTTTTTAAAAGCCTTTCAGGATGAAATCAAATACAAACATGTGATGATTCAACACATTATGTTTCCGTCAATTGAATTTTTCCTTTCTCTAAATGTTCTTTAATGTCCAACTTAAATTTAGAGTTTGTACTTTTCTACTTTTATGTATGTAAGTTTAATCTTCATGACAACTATATCAAATATCACTAACTCATCTGTGTTTTTTACGAATGCTTTTAGATAAATACTGTCATTAATATTTTGATATGAACTGATAAAATATTTAACAAATTAACTTGGTATATGTGTAACGTATGCAAATTAAATGATAAATTTAAGAAACTTTAAGTGCTGATTAAACAATTAAAAAATTACATATCTTCTCTATATAATTATGAATAAAAAGGAAGTAGTAAAAGCAAAATATATCTTACGTATTCCCGGATAAGGTTGCAGGCTTGGATAGGCTGTGGGCTGCAAAGCATCCCCATTGGGGATAGCTTGAGCTACAAAAGAGAAAATTATATCACAAATAATTCAATATAAAGCAAGCTTATAAAAGTCTGTTATAAAATTAAAATGATATAAGAATAGTTTTGAAGGTAAGTTTTGTACAATATATTGATGCACAGTGGCGTAGCGAGAGGGGGGCATGGGGGTGCATGATGCCCCGGGCGCCGCTCGTAGAGGGGCGCCAAATGGTCTCCAAACAAGATTTTCCGGAAAATTTCAGTTATTATTTTGATCGATTTCTGGAAAATATATTAAACTTAATAACTATTGTAATTATTTATATAATTAATTATTTATTTTCTTGATTTGTTTGATAAAATGTGTAACAAATGTTTGCAGTACATCAACCAAAACGTTTCTTCCTGACCACTTTATTTCTCCAAGTAGAGATATATTTATATTTTTTTTAAACGAAATGCACGTATATGTTCTGCTTTTATTTTAAAACGATTTCTCAACATATCCAGTTTCTAAAACCCGATTCCATAATCTGGAAATGACATTTTGGGACAATCCTAACGCTTCCGCTACAATGGATTGCGTTTGACTCTCCTGTAAACGACTGATGTCCTTCCTGGCTACCGATTCAACTATGTCATCTTGCTGAGACATCGTATATTCACAGCTACGAAAGCATTCAACGCGTGTCAGTTGTTCTTAGTCTCCTACTACAAAAGGAATGCTGCAGGTCGCTCCTTACTCCTTTTCTAAAACACATAGTTTCTGACGTCACAGACTAATTTGCATATTCCCAACTTTGCAAACGTTATAATTTTCCTTTATAATCTCTTTTATTTCCTTTTGTTGAAAAGGTTGTCGATTATATGGTTATTTCATGCCGAACTCGCAATGTTCCCTAATTGTTTTGAGCAGTGAATGTTATTCCGCAGTAGAAAAGAAATTGAACCTAAAACTGCATTACAGATCTATAGATAAAATGTTTTTCCAACCTAAGGTCGCACTTCAATACTACTTACTATTTCATTTGCTAATTATGAACTTCGTTCAGCATATTAATAAATTTTTCACATATTTACGATCAACGATGTGACAAGATCCCTTAAGTCATCTAGCATTTTTTAAGTGTGGAAGAGAAAAATTTGAAAGGGTCGACTTTGGTGAAGTAATAATAATTTGCTTCATACAGGTAAAAAAAAAGTATACAAGTAGTTAATTGTATCATGTATTATATTATTACTAATAAATATAAGTGCTCGACCAAGTCGAGATGCACGTGATTGAAGCGAGATGAGGGCAAACTAAAATTTTTAAGATGGCTGGTAGTGTGTCTGACAATTTTACATCTTTGACACTCCAAGCACGAACGTGTCTAGTTAGTTGGCTATGTCCTTTTACATGCTAGGCCATACGAAACGTTGCTGTATCAGTTTTTTCGAAGCCTTCATGCCAGGATGTGACAGACAATTTAACTGACTAAAAATGGCATGGTGAAATCCAGAGGGTCGACATAAGGTCGAAATCTTGAATCCTGAACATCACAAGAAAGTGATTTTCCAGTCAACTTGCATCGGCTCAAGTTGAGATTGGTGGAAGATTTGCTTTTCAGAGGTTTTGTAGTTCTGAATCCTGGTGTTATTCATCGGCAAGGGCAGCAACTTTATTGCGAAGGAACGGCTAGTTCTTCAACGAGACAAGGGTGTCGCAAACATATTCTGCGAACCCTCAATATACGGATGCTGTTGAAAACTGCCCTATGAATCTAGTGTCTCATTTGACGAGGAGAAGTTTTATCCTGTTGAAAACATAAACATAAGCCTTTTAAAGGCGACTGATGTTTCAGGGAACCCATCGCCAAATCCGGTGTGGAGAATCCTCATTTTTAGTTCGAGCGCCATTGTAGAGTTGAAAATTAGCAACCGCCTTCGCCGGAAACGAACCGCGACCTCTGGAGTACGGCCCAGGTGCGAACACCATACCACACCACACCACGAAGGCACACTAGAAACGGGAGAAATCCTTATAACGTAGAGTGATAATGGTTTAAGATGCGGAAGGATACTGCAAATTTGTTGCGAATTAAATCATTTTTGCATTTTTGGAACGCTTCGCAAGATTCTGTGGTCCAGGTTATAAACGCGTTTATCGTTTTTCTTGCTTCCAACCAAAAAAGATTTAGAGGTGCTTGTATGGTTACTGCATGAGGTAAGAAACTCGATAAAAATTGAGCATACAAGAAATCTTAAGTTCGTCACTGTATGTTCGGGCATATCGCGATAGCGGTGACTCTGGAAAGGGGTTGACGCCATCAGCGGGAAATTTCATGACCAAAAAATCTCTTGGTGACCAAAAACGCATTGGAAGGATTAGACTTAACACCGTACCTTGAAAATGTCAAAACTGTTCTCAATGTGATAGGTTTCTTGCTCTGTAAGGAGGCGATTAAACGTCATCAAAATAAAGTACACGAAAGTCAGGCCGATTAACACCTGATTATGAATTGACATTGAGCGCCTGCATAAGTCGAAATCATGACCGGAAACTCAAATAGTCCAAAAGGCGTAATAACCGCAATTTCAGCTGGGTTAACGCTGGGACTATCAGCTGGGTTACCGGGCATTTGGTGATACCCCGCTCAAGATCAAGGGTTTTTGAATAGCTTTCCCTCTAAACTGCATACAGTCTTGAATGCGCGGATTGGGGTAACGATGAGAAATTGTAGCGCATTAACCGGCGATAATCACCACTTACCATTTTTTTCCGAACTAGATGAGCACTGGCCCATGAACTTTTTGAAAGACGGCAATTCCCTTTTCCATCATGTATTAAAATTCCTCTTGGCGGCTTAAGCTTGTCCGAGGTAAGCGTCAGTTTAGCGCATTGGAGGTCCGTTAGTTTCAATATAATATCGTACATCGTTTCTTGGTTCGAAATACCCATAACTGTGGCGTGATTGTAGGGAATTCTCTGAGAAGTGATGTCATGGGGAGTTACCCGATCAGTTTAATGCTCAAATCTTCACTATTGCAATTACTCCATGATAAGTTAGTTGGTTATGAATCTATCAAAAGGCGATTTTAATATCGTACCAAGAAATTTAGTAAAAAGTCACGTCAATAATAGGGCAGGTAGCAATAATAAATTGTCATTGGAATTGCGGCGCAATCTTAATCAACATATATCAGCGGTTCACTAGAAGTTGAATAGGAGTTCCATTTGCTATATAAAGTTGTAACTTATAAAGCGCTTTTGTTCGTGAAATGTGGTGGAACTACAGAAACATCAGCCCGGTGTCTACACGACCCTTAAGCCCGAATCTTTTCGATGACGAAAAGCGTGTAAATTCCGGCCTCTGTCTTCATGACTTCGACCAACGCCTTCTCGTTTCCCTGGTCACGGTGGGTGGCATTTGTGGCACGGTGGGTCCCACGGAGGGTCATTTGTTTGCCTTGTTTTCCAAATTTGTGGTGGTACAAACAAATACCCGAGGAGGGCTTTCATACGTTCCCTCAGTGGTTAGGACGTGTATTTCGACTACGTGATGTGGAGAGGTTGCGGTGAAAAGGGTTCAGCTTGGATGGCTACTAACTGAGCAACCTTTTGGACAAATCATCAATTTGAGCCTGTAACGCCACATACCTGGACCAGGAGCCTGCACTGCGTGTATTTGCGCAGGAATGGCCAGTTCGTGAACTTTATTAGCGATTTCGGGAAGATTGTTATGCTCGCTACTGGCCGCTAAAATGGTTTGCATGTTAGATGGGAGTCTATTCGTCTAATGTTTAAGAATGTTATCCGTTAGGTTACCGGCGGCTAAGTCTGACATTTTAGATAGCAACTAGAAGGCCTTATATCACTCACCTGTAATCGTGCACAGCTGCTGATTTAACTATCAAAATACAATACAATCAAATCAAAAAGAGAGGAATGAATTTTGAAAGAACGCGTCTTTGAAAGATTCTTTAAGCGTAGTTCTATTTTTAAGGCTCGTATAGTAAATTATATACTTAAAAGGAAATTTCAGGCCTATTACAAATAAAAATTGGAATTTTTCTTATCTATTCTTATATATATATATATATATATATATATATAAAAAATGTTAATACATACAGGAGAGGCAAAAATATAAAGCTGTAAAGAACCATTTGAATTATCTAATTCCAGATATGCATGTAGATTCCCTTTTTTCATGATTTACTACTTACTAATTATACATACATACATCATACACACACACCATAATATATATAGAGATATATATTTAAAGGAAGAGCATGTTTCTTAAAAAAGTCCAGCTATATATGATAAAAGCTTCACTCATGTGAAAAATAAAAAGTTCTTCTTTTAATCTTGTTAAACTAACAGCGAATGTTCTGCCTACTTTTACATCATTTACGAACTGCATTTTTTAACTCTAAGGAAAGGGGAGCAGAATACAAAACAATGAAAGAATTGCTTTGCAGAATATGAAATTGTCTATTCTCGGAAACAAAAAGATCCACTACTTTGAGAATTTCTAAATGCTATTGACGAACAGAAGTAGCAAAAGTCTTAAAAGTATTCCTCAAGAAGCGAAAAAAGTAACTATCATTTGAACATTTGTAATTACACGCCAATCAGAAATGCATAAAAATATTAAAGTCTTGGTTAGTCTTCAGCTAGGAGTTTAGGTTTGCAAATCAAAATCAACGTTCCCCCTATTACATACTTGTGTTCGCATTATATTGTACTATTGGACTTGTATTGTATTATACAGTCTATTTATATTTACAATCTCATTATGTACCAATTGATCATTGTATTATAATTGTCAGAGAATTTCAGTATTGTTATCATATGTACTAATATTTGAAGCAGTAGTCCCCTTTAACTTACATTATTTTGCACTTATTGTTCACGAAATATTTGCATTTGTAATTATATCTTACTTTTTACATTGATATTGTACTATTGGATTGTATTATGCAGTATATTTATAATTGAAATTTCATTATGTACCAATTGCACATTGTATTATAATCGTCAGAGAATC